TCTACTTCTCCCCCAAGTTTGGAGTCATCTGCAGACTTGCTGAGGGTGCACTCCCTCCCATCTTCCAGGTCATTTTTGAAGATATTGAACAAAGCCTGGACAAAAATAGATCAAATTCACTTGATATTAGCTGCCAACTGGACATTGAACCATTTAATGCTACCCTGGAAGCCTGATGATACAGCCAGTTTTTTTATCCAGTTTACAGTTCGCTCATCCAACCTGGACTTCCTTAGCTTGCCTGCGAGAATGTTGTGAGAGACCATATCAAAAGCCTTGCTAAAATCAAGATGCACCACATCCACTGCTTTCTCCACATCCGCAGAGCCAGTCATCTGATCATAGAAGGCAATCAGGTTGGTCAGGCGTGACGTGATAAATCTGTGCAGATTGTTCCTGGGGGATCCTGCCCATCAATTTCTTGAGTATGTCCAAGTCCAATTTTCTGAAGTCCAGGGTCCTTACTCTGCTACTCTCCTTCCTGCCTTTTCTCAGGATCCCAAACTCAGTCATCTCGTGGTCACCGCTGCCCACATTGCCATCCATCACTACATTTCCCACCAAGCCTTCCCTGTTTGTGAGCAGCAGGTCAAGAAGAGCATGGCCCCTAGTTGGCCTGTCCAACGCTTGCACCGGGAAGTTGTCTCCAACACTCTCCAAAACCTTCCTGTATTGCCTGTGCATTGCTATATCACCCTTGCAGCAGATGTCAGGGTGATTGAAGTCCCCCATGAGAAGTAAAGTGATTGGAAAACTTTTGCTAGCTGTTTGAAGAAGGCCTCATCTACCTCATCCTCCTGATCTGGTTCACTATAGCAGCCCCCCACCACATCACCCTTGTTGCTCTCCCCTCCGACCTTAACCCAGAGACTTTCAACAGGCCTGTCTCCAGTTTCGTACAGTTGTTTTGCATACAGCATAACTCTGCCTCTTCTCTCCTGCCTCCCTTCCTGAACAGTTTGGACTCATCCATGACAGTGCTTCAGGCATGCGAGCTCCCACCAAGTGTCTGTTATTCCAATCATGTCATAGCTCCGTGACTGCATCTTTCTGCTGGTCTCCCAGGCTCTGTGGATTTGTGTACAGACACCTGAGGTAACTAGCTGATTGCCCTGATTTCTCAGGAAGAATGAGAAGGCCTCCTCTGTTGCCCCCTCCTGCTTGTGCTTCTTCTGGGTCACCTACTTCCCTACTTACCTTAGGCATTTGATTTCCATCCCCTGGCAAGCCTAGTTAAAAGCCCTTCTCACCAGGTTAGTTAGCCTGTCTAGAAAGATGCTTTTCCCTCTCTTCGGCAGGTGGATATCTCTTCCTAACATTCCTTCTTGGAACAACATCCCATGGTTGAAGAAGCCAAAGTCCTCCATGCGTTGCCATCTGCACAGCCATGAATTGATCTGCAAGGTGCATCTACTCGTGCTGGACCCTTCTTCTTGACCTGAAGAATCAAGGGGAACACCACCTGAGCCCTTGTCCCTTGCACCTAGAGCCCTGTAGTCACTTTTCATCTGCTCAGGATCGCCCCTGGCAGTGTCATGGATGCCCACATGAATGAGCGGCATGGGGTAGTAATGACAGAGCTGGATGAGTCTTGGTAATCCTTCCATGACATCTCAGATCTGGGCTCCAGGAAAGCAGCAGACCTTCTGAGACAGCAGGTCAGGCTATGGCAGATGGATCTCTCCATCTCCCACAGAAGGGAGTCTCCAACCACCACCACCAGTGGCTTCCTCTTTGTGGCAGTGGTCTTGATCCTTGCAAGATTGGGGGTGCCTGGCCTGGCCTCTTCCACCAATGGAGCATGCTCCTCCTCCTCTTGCTAGGGCTCCATCTCTGTTCTCTAGGCAGACTGCTGCATGTGGAGATGAAGACTTTTGCTTACTGCCAGAGGTTGCAAGCTTCCAACTTCCACCTTCCTAGGAGTCCAGGTCCTCTTCCTTCTCTAGTGCTACCTCTGGCAGTCCTTTGTCCGCAGTCCTTCAGCATCGAATTGATGAAGCCCTCATGGCAAAGGATGCTTTGGGGCCTCACCACCTCCTCCTGTAAGTCTCTTACTTGCTCCCTGAGGGACACCACCAGGAGGCACCTCTCACATCGCAGGCACTCCCCGACCTGCCTGTCACTGGAAGGACCCTGCAGGCTCCAGAGCAGAAAACCAGGACCTGGTTGGAAGCCTCAATGGTGAGCGGTTCTCTCCTGGTGCAGGCATGGGACAAGCTGGCAGTGGCTCCCGTATCTGTAGTTTGGATAAAGGAACAGGGAAGAGTGTAGATATGAAGATAAGAAAGGGCTTGCTTGTGGCTAGCTGTTAACACACTGGAAAGAGATTGGGGAGTCACTGTGGGGAGTTAGCTAAAACTCAGTGCTCAGCAGCCGTCAGAAAGGCAAACAAAGCTGTAGGGATTATTAAGAAGTGGGGTGTAAGTAAAGTATCATTATGCCCCTTTATAAATCCATGGTGCATCCACACCTTGAATGCTGTGCCCCGTTCCGGTTCCCACACCTCAGAAAGGATATTGGAGACCTAGAGGAGGTCTAGAGAAGGGTAGTAAGGATGATTAGTGGTATAGAGGGGCCTCCAGATGAGGAGAAACTAAAGTGGCTAGGCCTGTTCAGTTTAGAAAAGCGCTTGACTGGAGGCATGATAAAGGTTTACAAAATACTAAATGGTGAAGAGAAAATAAATAGGGATTTATTATTTAGTCTGTCACAGTACAAGAACTAGGGGTCATAAAATGAAGCTAATAGATAGTGAGTTTAAAGCTAACCAAAGGAAGTTCTTTTTCACACAACATGTCATTAAAGGGTGGAGCTCATCGCCACCAGATGTTGTGGGAGCGGCTAGTTTAACCCGATTCAAAAAGGGATTGGACACATTCCTGGAGGAAAGGGGCATCAGCAGCTATTGAGTTGGGGATAGAGCCTGTGGATCAGAACTTCCTAGACCCTAAGTGCTGGAGGCTGCAAGGGAGAGGAACAGCAGAAATAACCCTGGTCATTGTGTTTGCCTTGCTCTCCCCCTCCACATCCACTCTGCCACTGCGACAACTGGGCAAGATGGACTGACCCAGTAAATGGCAGTTCTTATGGTTGTAAAAACTTAAAATAGTTCCCTACACTGGTTCCCTGCTCTCGCTTTACAAGAACAAAACCTCAAGACGTGAAAACTGCTACACAGGCTTGCCTCTAGAGGCTTTTTTCTCTTCCTGTAAACTCCATGCTGTAATGCACAGAGCATTAAGTGCCTTACTGCTGTATGAGGGTCACACCAGGCTAATAATTATAGATAGCAACTTTCATTTGAAAATTTCAAATCAATATACTAATTTTCTTGTCTAACTAAATGTATGTGAGCTGGGCTAAGTCTCATCCCTCTTCTACAGGTCAGTAAATAAACAATGGAACAAAATCAGATTTTCTAGCACTGAGGGCAACATTTCTTCTTGACACTAAAATCGAGTAAAGGTATCAGAATCTGGCCCTAAGTTACTTGTCCCAAGTTTGTCAGCTAGGAGTAGACCCCCGATGTCCTTTACTCTTCTTCTTTCTACACAGGGCTGCTTCTTAAGAGCATGCATTCTTCTCACGTATCACAATTCACCGTTTGCTTAGGAACAGCTTTTGATTTTCATCCCTTCCTCAACCCAAATACCTGCAGCAACAAAAAGAAAAGCAGGTACTCTGTCCTACATATTTTCCTACACTTTTGTCACTTTTGCATTTTATTTTTAAAATGCTACAAAGCTTACATAGATTTCTAAAATCACCATCTCCCATAAAGCATAGGATGCAGGGTTATGCACTGCTATGTATTGTTCTCTGGAATTGGTGACTCATTGCCACTTAACAAAGAAGTAAAAACATTGGTATAAATGAGGTCTGTAGGACCTAGCTAGTTTAGCAAGCGGTGACAGTTTGAGTTTGGATAAATAGGAAGAAATGGCTGGGATTATTTTGGTTTCTGCAACTGAGAGCATATATCTCTTTTGTATTACTTGGGTTTGCAAACTGCAGATTATGAATGATATTCATCTTCTCGTAGCTGAGTAGTTCGCAACAGCAGCGAGGAAGCAATTTTTTTTCTTTTCAGATGCAGACTTGACACCGTGATCTAGGGCTTTCATCTCCAGACTTAACAGCTCTAATGTGGTATGCATGGGGCTGCTCTTAAAGACCACTGTAAAGCTCAGCTAGTGCAGAGTACAGCTGTCCAGTTCACTGTACAGCATTTGATGGAGGCATGAAATTCTCCTTCTTAGTAATTGTTGGCTTCATTTCATTTTTGGCTGAAGAACAAGGTGTGGGTTTTCACTGTCCAATTCTAAATTATTTCAGTCCTGACTGTCTTGTTTCTCTTCCTGAAATAACATAATGGTTCCAGTCACAACTTAGTATTTGATTTGGTGGTGTAAAGAGGAGGCCTTGGTAATGGAGCACCTCTTAAGTGTCTCTTTCTGCCAGTGGTCCAGTAGGGCTCAGCTTCGATCTTTGCGTTCCGAGGCTGATACAGAGAACACTTCCGAATTAGTTACGAATCTCGACAGAATTTAGTGCCCGGCCTGGGGTCTGAAAATGCAGTCAAACTAAAGCTTATGAACCTAAGTAGGTTCTGCTTATGAACCTGAGTAGGTTCAAAATGGCTGGAATCGCAGGTCTTTTTGAGGGGCTTGGGTTAATTGAGACCAAGAGGAAGCTGAAAGAAAGGAGTCATGTTTGTAGCAGAAATAGCTTTTGTTAATGGTTGGAAGAGACTTGGCTGCTAGCCTCCTTGGATATTGTGCGTGTGTGGTATCAAATACAGATAATGCTTACAGCTTTAGGTAGGGGCTGGATGAATGGCAGTACATTGAAAAGAAGCATCTTGAAGAATCTGGTAAATATCTGAACAAGTGTTTATTTAGGATTTGCCATAAAGATTTTTATAGTTTTATGAATCAGCACAAAATTGAGGTGCAACCAAAATAATTTCATTTTCTTTCTTTTTTTCTTCCCCTTTTTAGAATATGACAGATACCTAGCATCTAGTAAAACCATGGCAGCGGCTTACCTTGATCCAAATTTAAACCATACTCCAAGTTCAAGTGCAAAGACTCACCTTAGTACTGGGATGGAGCGTTCTCCAGGGGCCATGGAACGAGTCCTTAAAGTCTTCCATTATTTTGAAAGTAGCAGTGAACCAACGACGTGGGCCAGCATTATCCGACACGGAGATGCTACAGATGTCCGAGTGAGTTCCTTTTTAACATTCTTATGACTGATGCTGGTGTGTGTTAACCTTGCACACAAGTGTGACGAGACAACTCTAGAAGCCAGCAACACAGATGTTCTGCAGTTTATTTTAAAATCTTTATCCAGCACATGCTGTGAGTCATATCAGACAAAGCTTTAATTTCTTAGAGCAATTTTCTCAAAGAAATGACAGTTGTACAAATTGTACATTAACTTGACAGGGCTGTTGACATTAATTTAGTTCTCATTTTCTGTTGTATAAAGACTTAAAAATGGGAGAAGAGCAACTGGACTATATTCCACCTGCTTAAATGATCTTTCGGCTGTATTTCCAAAAAGGCAGTGCGATGAATGAGCGTGGCATTTAAGGAAGCATCAAAAAAAAGCTGGGCCATTAAATTATTTATTTCAAAGAGGATGGTAAAACAGAAGCAGCAGCTCCACAGGGAAAGCACAGAGAAATAATCTAATATTGAGGCTGTTCTTTACAGTGTACAGGAAGATTTGTTTTCCTCTTCAAGGATTTAATTCTGTTGGGTTAAATTAGAAGGAAGTAGAAGGGGACTGTCTAAGCGGACAAAAGAACAAATGTCTCTTGTTTTGTTTCAGCTTTTCCTCCAGGGACTCAACTTTCTGCTTGCTTTTTTATTTCTCTACTTCCACTTTTGTTTCTACTATTTCTGTTCCTATTTCTACTTTAAATGAAGTATAACTATGAGCTCCTGAAGGAAGGCAGTATTTTGAAGGGAAAATTCTGGAGACTTGGATTCTAACTGCCACTGACTATTATCTGCACAAAAGAAAGCTGTTTTAATGGCAGCAAAATATAAAGTCTTGAATTCCCACTCCTCTTTTCCAGCTGTTTATCCTATTCGGAAAGAATTAAACAAATTTCCAAGGGAAGGTAAACCTTGTCAGAGTGGCCATTGATTTGTGAAATGTGCAAAGTTCCAGTAGCCATCATGGTCCAGGGAATATGCTCAATAATATCTTGTTTTGGGCCATGTGTGTAGTTGGGAGAACTGTCATACAAGCTGACAGGAACAGAATGCCCTTTCTCTAGTCTTTTATTGGACCAACAAAATTTTTGCAAAAAAAAAATTATTTAATTGCTTTAAAAGCTTTCCGGCACAAACACCCTTTATCAGGCATTGGAGAAAAGATTGTAAAAGTTCTCCTGCTTTCTCTGGTCTGAGCTCTTTCCTAAACACAGTTGATCAGGTAAACCATATTACCAAAGGGATCCTGGGAGTTCCTGTGGCAGTTACCTAGGAAATTCTTTTAATCTTTTCAGCAGCATGTTTTGACGTGACTGGGCTCTTGGGGCATCAGGGCAGCCATGACTTTCAGTTGCCTTCGTGCCACCAGCAGAATGGCCCGGCTGCTGGCAACAGGCGTCCGCCACCCCTCTCAAGTTTAATTCAAACAAGTAGGCACCTCATGTTCAGAGGCACCTTGAAAAGTAGCTGAGTTATAAGTACAGAAGTCAGTGTCAGCCTTCCATGTTTTTGCATGGGCTTCTGGAATCGCTTTTTGAGATTTGTCCCTTCAAAAATATAACTAATTTTTGTCCACCTTTATCATACCAACGTGTTCAGGCACAACCTTGGCCTGCTGATGCTGGTTACCAAACCAGCTACAGCCAAAGTAGATCTCAGTTGCTTACCTCTTTCAACATCAGGAGTTTGTATGCAGTTGTTTAATTTTTCTAGGCTCTTTTTCTACGACACTAAAAACTTTTTGTCCTCTCAAATGAAAGCTGAGATTCTTCTTTACATTTCTCATTCCCCACATCAGAAATGCCTGTGGTTGTGGCCTTTGCAGTATCCAAAACTAACTCTGGCAGTTTAAGGGTAAGTTTTTATGACCATTATAAATGCAAATTCACCATCTTTGTTTTCTAAAAGCTAAACAATGCTAAAGGTGAGGTCAAGAAAAAGAGAGGTTCTCAATTGTGTATTGGGGTGTACTGTCATTTTTATATTTTTCCTGGGCCCAATTGCAGCTGATTGCTTTGGATGCTTGTTTCTGAGAGAATTATTTTTCCCTGCGTGGACCTTTTTAGCCAAGAAGGGGAAGTGTACCTTGGACAAAGGACAGGCTACTGAAATGCTTTGTTCATGTTCCCAAAAAATAAATACGAAATTTTGAATCTTTACAGAAACCGGGACAATTTCTCTGTAAGCTTTAATGTTGTGGAAATGAGTGTGTGCTGTACACTAATGATCCAGTGCCGATGCATTAACATATTTATGTTAGATGCTACAAATCATTATTGGCGCAAAAGTTCACGTTCCATTAACATTACTGGTGTTATTTTGAGATGAACAACTGAAAATGAAAACAAAACCGCTAGATTTTCTGCAATCTGGATGTTCCCACCGTTTATATGGAAGACATAGAGGCTACATTAGAACCTCCATGTGCAAAAAAGGAGCAGTTTCATTTGTTTCAAGTGCTGCTTCTTGAGGCAGTTGTGCCCATTTTTGTTAGTCTTCACCTGGCAGCCTGGTTTCTGGGATCTTGCCTGGGATCCTTTCCCCTTTTCAAAGGAAGCCTCCATTCTGGTAGTAAAGAGAAAATGTTGGTAAATGCACTAGTATCACAGAGAGGTTGAGTTCCTAGTTCATGACGTTTCTGCAATAGCATGACTAGGGTAGGGCAAGGGGGGCACCAGCCCTGGATGCCATCACTGCCAGACAGGGTTGACAGAACCAAGCCCAGCCCTGGCCCCAGTAAGGCAGTGTGCAGGGAGCCGGACTCTCAGATGAGCCCCTCCTTTGCTTGCCCCTGCTCAGACCCCCTCTTCTTCCCTTTTGTGCCACAGCAGCTTTCAGGTGTTTGGCACAAGAATCCCCCCATCCTGGTCTAGAGCACAAAAATCACTAGTTATGCCTTTGATATTTCCTCATTCGAATATTTCTGGGTTCCCCTTAACCACGATGAGGGTGTTTGGCAGCCCCTGCAGCCTCCCACATTCCAGCAGGAATGTAACTTTTTTCTCATCCCTCTGTAACTTTTTCTTCATTACTGTAAATAATGAGGGACTTGATGTCAGTCTTTGCCAAATTCATGGATTCTCCCTTTTAACTATATACAACATGTTCTTACTGTTTTTTCTTATTGAAGTCTGCTTTTTTGGCCATCACATTGGCTTAGAAGCTTGAGTGTGAATTCCTACCCATATGAATCCCTACACTGTGTTCTTATTGCTAAAACCAATAGTCTGGTTAAGTTTTACTAGTCATCCTTTTTAATTTTAGGGAAGCTATTGTATTTCACTCCCCATTGCGTTTTCCAGACCCTGTGATTTAATGGGTTTGGTTGTGTTGCACAGGTGGGTATGAAATAAGCCAGTATTATTTACCTAGACAGAACCAAATCGTTTCATTTTTCCACTTACGTTTATCCTAAGCAAAATAATCAAATGTCAAGTTTTTCAGTTGCAAAGATTGAACTTTTGTATCGTAGCCCACAATTACAATGCCAGACTTCTGGTAAGAGCAAATGAGAGTAGCTGGCATTTACTTAATCAGTTTTAATAATAATAATCAAATATATCTGCATTTCTAGCATTGCCTACATATATATAAAATGACATCTCTCTAGACTTTGTGGCCAGTTGCCTTGCTAGACTTTTAGCCCTTCAGGTGGGCCTTCTTTAGTCCCTGGCATGACAAAAGAACTGTCTGTAGGAGAGGAGTAGCTGCTTCAGGACTTACGTCTGGAATGTGTCTGTTGAAATTTTGTAAAGCTGGAGCTTGCAGCTCTATGCATATGTCTACACAGCATTATTTTCTTGTTTCTGGAGCCTGATCAGAGGCTTGTTTGAGGCTGGTAATTCAATCCTTCTCATTACTGCTTCCCAGTCCTCCCCCAGGGTTTGCTACTGCGTGCCCATCTACAGAAAGCATCTCCAGAGCTGGTTAAGAAGGTTAACCCTTCCCAAAGGCATATGTCTAGTGATACTCACAAATAGATTCTTACTCCTGCTGGACAGATTTAAAGGCATTTTGCAGCTGTCCTTCAGGCCCCTGGCACACTTTCATTTAATGGAGCAATGGGATCTGATCCCCAATCCCAACAATTGTGCCTCCTGCCATGGACACATTAGGATCAGGGATTAAATCCAAATTGCACAATTACTGTTTGCCAGTACTGGGAGATCCCAAGATGTTTTCCCCCCAACCCAAAGCCTTGGCCCAGGACTGACAGTCGGCTGATTCTTGGCCCCATTCATTCAGTAAATTTGGAATGGCTTATTTTTATGGCTTATTTGCACCTTAAATAGCTTGCATGTGTACTACCCTTTTCATTTATGCTGCAGATAACACAATTAATGTATAGAGGGGGCCTAAGGGACTTCCAGAGACCCATTCTCCAGCTGTATGCCCCTTGGAACTGAACTAATTTAAAGGATCACTCCAGAACCCAGACAAGCCCCCAAAAATGTTTGTTTAGAGTAAAGAAACTACAATTCTCTTAGATCAGTGGCTGTCAACTGGGGGTACACATACCCCTAGGGGTACTTAAAAAGATTGTAGGGGGTACACAGAAGGAATGAGAAAAAATTACTAGAGGTGCACCAACATAAGGAAAATCAACTGTATCGGCAATCGGCTTTTTTGGCGGATGTGGTTGATAAATGCCCCATACATGTGCTCAGCGGGGGACTGAGATGCAAGCAACTTGGTGGAAGGGCAGCTCCCACTGCTCTATGCACCCCGGGAGGGCATGGGGGCACGTGGCCCCAGGTCTGGGTGTGGGGCAAAGGCAGGCTGCCACTGTGGGCTGGAGCCAGGGTAGCACTGGGCCGGGACTATGCTCAGGGTAGGCAGCAACAGTGCTGGGAGTGGAGGCTATGGTGAATTTGGGGATGGCTGCAGCTCCCCCCATAGCCCCCGTTGCAGCGCCACCACTGCTAGCCCAACCCCCACAATGGGACGAGTCCAGCACCATCCCAGCCCCAGCCCACAGCGGCCGCCTGCCCTCGCCCCA